GATAAGGAAAAGGTCTACAACTTTCATGTTTTGAGATCTGATAGATACGAACTGTATCGAGGTCAAAATCGTGTCCGAATTATCTACAATTGCATTGCTGACGTGCTAAGAAATTTTAGGAGATTTTGTAAGCTTCTCTTGGAGGCTAAAGAGAATAATACAAAAGGGAGAGAAAAAGAAGAGATTAGGGTTTGGACCCCTAAAAGAAAAATTGAAGAAGAAGGCTGCTAGGGAGAGGAGGAGGCTGCTGAATGCGGACTGAAGGAGAATCATAGCAAGGAGATCGAATACAAAAGGGTTCTGCAATTTGGTAACCTAGATTCGATTAGGTTCTTGAGGTTAAGAGAATAATACAAAAGGGAGAGAAAAAGAAGATATTAGGGTTTGGACCCCTGAAAGAAAAATTGAAGAAGAAGGCTACTAGGGAGAGGAGGAGGCTGTTGAATGCGGACTGAAGGAGAATCACAGCAAGGAGATCGAATACAAAAGGGTTCTGCAATTTGGTAACCTAGATTCGATTAGGTTCTTGAGGTTTCTCTATTGAATCTTTCTTGTTTCTTCCTTTTTATGCGAACTATGATGAGCTTTAATCCTGTTTTGTAATTAAACTTAGGCAGATCCAATTGAGTATGTTTTGTTCTTGGGATTCTTGATTAGGGTTTCGATTTATAGAACAATCTTGGCCGAATTGTTCTTGCATCTGTGATTAATTTCTTGAGAAAGAATTAGGTAATTAGATCATCTAATCAAGAAATGGACTGAATGCATTTTATAGATAAATTGAATGGTTTGGTTGGCAATCATTCATACCTGATTTGATGGCCTGCAAATTCTTGTTCTTAATGCATATTTGGTGAGTAAATTCTGATAGAGATATAGGATTTGTCATTTAGAGATAGGGTGGGCTACGCTTGAGAGAGGATGCTCATAGATTAGGGTTTCGCCAACCCAAGACTAACTTCACCTCAGTCAGATAGCTTAAATATTTGATGGTTGAACCGATTCTGTCAATTCTTGTATACAGTGACTCTTCTTATCATTAAGAGTGGTTTGATCCGAAAGTAATTAGGGTAGTTTGCTTGTTCTTAATTATATCATGAGGGGCTAGGCTTTTATTGTTAGGGACTAATGCTTGATCATGCATTGAATTTCATTCATTAATAAAACCGGTGAGGTTCTTGTTATATTGTGTTATTTGTGTTGATTACGTGTCATTGGATGATCACCAATTAATCGTTCCTTGATCAAGATTATGCATCGAAAGGTGATAATTGAGGTGGAACTAATAACACTTATTTGGCCAATAATTAGGTAGAGATATTAATTGTTGGTAGGATTTCCGTATAGGTGTATTGACAGCTTGTGTTTATTCAAAGGGGATTTTGATTAAAAGAATGAGAATTCATTGATTGTAATTCCATTTAATTGAACATAGGTTTAGCTAATCGATTCTTGAGAAAGATCGACTGGTGCTTTTAGGAAACACCTTGGAATATGACAACCCTCATGAGATTTTATTGATGTTGAACCTTGATGATTGTGATAGGATTATTCCCTCATGACTTGAGAGTATTCTTAGAAACAATTTAAGACCCTACAAACTTGTTTCCCTTACCCCTTACAGGTTTGTAAGTTGCAATTTGCAACTATTAATATGTATAATTATAATTTAAGGTATTTAATGAAATAACATTAATTTTTTTGTTCAATATAGGAAAATATTATGTGGTTGATTCAGGATATGCAAACATGTTTGGGTTCTTGTCCCCTTATTGCTCTGAAAGATATCACTTAAAATATTTCATGGGAAGAGGTGGTCATCCTAAAACTGTTAAAGAACATTTCAACTATGTACATTCTTCATTAAGAAATGTCATAGAACATTACTTTGGCATCCTAAAAGCAAGATTTCTAATCTTGAAGTTAATGCCATTGTATCCCATGCATAAGCAAGTACGAATTATTTTTGCATATTGTGTGTTGCACAACTTTATTAGATTGTCATGTACACAAGATGTATATTGGAATGGATTCTTATAGGCAAAAACACCAATTAAAGGTGAAGGGGGAATGTTCCACAATATTTCTCAAGCAACAATTAGTGTTAGGTCCCAAGCATATAGATAAATGGAACTAATACAAGATGAAATCATGCTCCAAATGGTAGAGCATTACAATTTGAGAGTAACTCGCCCTCAACCAAAGAACATTAGGAGAAGGTGAGCAACATGATTAGTTTTTTTCTCAAATATGTTGTGTTTTTATTTGATGAATATATTGGATTGTTAGTGTTGAACTATTTGTAATAAAGAAATATTCATGTTAAATTAATTACAAGTATTGAAGTATTACTTGTCATGTAGTGATCTATGTAGGGCCCACATTATTTTTTTTATATAGGTAAATACATAAGTGGAGCCTGCAGATGATAGCCACATATGCCAATGTGTAAATAGGGATTATATTGTTATCTTGTATAGGGAAATGCATGAATAGGGCCCATTTTAATATTTTGTGTAGGTAAATGTGTGAGTAAGACCCACAAGTAATATTTGCATGTTTGAATGTGCTACTAGGTCTCGTACGTAACATTTGACATGTATGTAAGAGGAACAGATAAATATGGTTGCCAAACGATCTTTCGGTCTTTTTAGCTTTTGAAAGATCTTTAAAAAAATTGCAACCAAACGGTCTTTAGTCTTTGAAAATCTACCTGTGAAAGCTTGTCAATCTTTGAGGTCTTGAGCTTTTGGAAAATCTTCCTAAAAAGAAACAGCAACAAACGTTTCAAGTAACAACAACAATCTTTATTGATCAACCCAATTTCCATTAATCAACCAACCTCAAACGTTTCATAAATAAACAACAATGGCATCAAACACAACCCTAGTCTAAAACCATTTTTGTTCGAATAGATCAAGCCATCAAATAAGACATTATTGTGGATCATCATGAAACATTGAGTTATCGACACCTTTCGCAAAAGCTACAGGGATTGGGACCATTTGACAAATTCCCAAAATGCTTGTGGACACTATCTATAAAAGGAATTCTGAATTCACTCCCATCACATGACATGGTAAAAGGAACAAAATGATGGGCATGGAGACAGATGGCAAATGAGCAAAATGACAGAGTCAAACTTCGCTTTAATTTATGCGACAACTATGTTTTCTCATATAGGAAAATTCCTGAACAGTACCCTGAAATTTGGGGTTGTGTCAAGTCAATCCCCAAACTTTAAAACGTGTCTCTATAGTACCCTGAACTTTCAAATTGTGTTTAATAAGTCCCTACAGTTAGTGAACACCATCACAGGACATCAGGTGTGTATTAAATAATTTCAAAATGGAAAATTTTCCCTTTATGATTTTTTTTCTGACCATTTTACCCATTTCGTCTTAGTGTTAGAAGAAGAAATGGGGAAAAGGATTATGAAATTAGACACGGATCAACTTTTGAAGCTCCTGCTCCCCTGTTCAACGATCACCTGTCCGATTTCATAACCCTTAATGCACACCAACGAATGGGTAAAATGGTCAAAAAATATCATAAAGGGTAATTTTGTCATTTTAAAATTATTTAATGCACACCTAATGTCACATGACAAGGTTGACTAACGGTCAACTAACGATAGAAACCTATTAAACACAATTTGAAAGTTTAGAATACTGCAGAGACACATTTTTAAGTTTGAGGACTGATTTGACACAACCCCCAAATTTCAAGGTACTGTTCAGGAATTTTCCCTTGATTTTGAATATTCACAATGGCCAAGGGCTAAGCTGACATATCGTGAATCCGTAATTCAGGGGTGGTCTATTTTCTAAAATAAAAATCTCAACAAGGACATGAAGGTCCAATGATTCATACCAAAGAGCCTGCTTTAGGATTTTCTTTCTACAGCTTGATTCACTTTTCTGTAGGTGTTGGAATACTGCTTTCTTTAGGTTTTAAACACTCACATAGGCGACGAATGAATAACATATTCAGGGTGAGACTTGAGAGGGTGATAGTTGTTGGCCTAGCCGGCGGGAGCCACTGCCGGCAATAGTTCAGGCCTACCGAACATCAAGGCCAGAGTGAATATGTATATAAGGTAGTATTTATAGTAACATTCAAAAATATTAGTCTCATAAAAAAAATGAATATTTATCGATTCTTTGGCATTTAAGGTGAGTTTGGAAGTGCTTAAAAATAAGTATTTATTCGAATAGTAATTTATTTTGAATAGAAATCACATTAATAAACACTTATTTGCATTTAGGAAATAAGCTCGAGTAAGTACTTATTCCTAAGATTAAGCACTTATTTGAGAAGCTCAAATTTTAGATTTATTTTTAAATGCTTATTTCCTTTCTGGCCTATCTTGGCATGCTAGGTTATTTTGAACACTAATTAGAATAAACACTTATTTTTTAAATAAAACTACCAAATTTCACCTTAGACTGGCCCAAGCCCCAAGCTATATCTAAAATCTGAAGTATTAATTTGGGCTAGGCGTAAGACCACCACAGTTCCATTGAGTTCACTCTCAGGACACGTAGTGTCTAAATCATCTAATTCTTCAACCAAATGGACTGTGAAAGTCAAGTTGGATACAACTAATGTCCAAGTTGAACATGACTGATGTATATTATTTACTCTATTTGATCCTAACCTGACTTTTTTCCTAATTCTCCATTTTCTTCTATTTTTGGTAATCCTCCAGTTCCTTTTTTATTGACTGCACATCTACAACTCTAATTTCTTCTTCTTCTTCTTCTTCTTCTTGGGTAAATTGGAAAAGATGGGCTACACAAATCGGGGTAACCCTCTACCAAGCATCACAAAAACATAAAACTCTAATTTTTTCATGAAAGGAATTGTTCTTCCCTTCGTGAAAAACCACTTAATAACCAGTCATAATATAGTGTAATATTTAATTGCTGCATGCATGATACAGCATTCCATTGTAATTCATCAATTCGAGTTTCATTATAAAAATCCCATTTCTTAACTTCTCTAACTTCTTAATTCCCCAGGAAAGAAGAATGTGCATGTTACTGCAGTTCCACTCTCCCTAGACTTTTTTTTTTTTTAATATTAATCAAATACCATCTTCACATGCCTCGACCTTAACCCCGAGTAGAGGATGCCCTAAAATGTACAAAACCTCTTTTACTAGTTCTCAATCAAGAATATAGTCATACCCATTAGAAAAATCAGAGGGCATATTATATTACAGAACACGTTTCCGTATCTAACCAAATACTATTAACAATCGAGTTTCAGTCATTTCACCACTAGGAGACAGACCTCTCCAGTCTCCACCATAGGTGCTCAGAACTTCATATTCAACTCTTTGCTGCAAATGTCCTGCATTTCAATTCAGCAATCTAATTAGTAAAATGTGAAGTGTAAAATAAGCAAGAAAAAAAGGGGAGAGAGAGAGAGAGAGAGAGAGAGCACAGGATTTCAAGGAACCATCTTTTGGAAGCTTGGAAATGTCAACGAAAACGTTTAATGCCATGGTACCAATGAGCAATAAAAAAAGAGAGAGATCTGAGGGACTTGCCTAATGTTAATCTAACCCCTCTCCATTTAGATCACATGTAAGGCATTTACAGCAGCTAGAGGTAGCTAATGTATGGATTGGGTTGGGTTGGTTGCGGGTTGAAGGCCAACCCATCCACCAACTACCCACATTTATAATTTCTATGGGCATTACAACTCAACCTAACCCGACCATGTTGAACCATTTGAATGTTAATATGTTATATTATGTAAACCACCTTTAGTAAGGGAAACAAGCTTTATATTTCTCTTATACGACCATGTATTCTTACCCTATTGGTTCAACCCAGGCATAAAAGTTGTTGAACCTCATTGGAAAGAAAGAAAGAAAATAGAGATAAAGGAGAGAAGCCACATGAGGGTCAACCTGTATACCTGAAATTTAAAAGGCAAAAAATTGCAGAAAAAACAATATATAAATAAATAAAGAAATATATATATATATATATATATATATATATTGCAGAAAAACAGAAACGGGTAAAACAAAGAAATTGCAGAACCTTCTTTTAGCAAGAAAAGCAGAATTACAGAAAAACAAAGAAATTAATAAAATAAAATAAAATCATCCATCCGGAAAAACAAAGAAATTGATAGAATTCAATAAAATATATTTGAGACAAAAAAAGCAGAAATTGCAGAAAAGCAACAAATTGATAGATAATCAAAAATATATATTTAAGTCAAAGTTATCTTACTGAAATATTATTGCCAAATGCCGATATATGCCTTGACAAGTGCCATAGCAGCTCCAAAGTTATCTAGCATCATAAATAATTCAAGATGTCAATTTATCTCCATGCTTCAGGTAAGAACGGAGAAATGTATAGCCTTTAAGATACACCGATATATTAAGCTAAACAACTTTCCATAATGATACTATAGTTCTTAAACCTATTCAGTTATCTGTTGCCTGTCATTATAAGTTGAAGTACAAGCCTTAGAACTAATGAAGATACAAGAGGCATGCTGTTTTGGAGGGTCTCTTGACCATGATCTCAACAGTGCACGTTTACTGTGTCCAAGTTACCAAGCATTGCTATCCTCATGAAAGAATAAGAAATGATTGATTCCAACTTCCAATTCTTGTAACAAACCACATTGTTTTTTCTGCTTACATTCTTGTAAGCTTATGGAAGCATGCTATTCACACCATTTGGCCTTTAGCTCTGAAAATAGCTAGGGATTTGTTTCAATTCTGTCATTTTGCATTAAATGATTGTAGAGTGACTTACCGTTACAAATCTCATAACAGTTAATATTCTAGTACCAATTATGGATTGCATTATTAGATGGTAATCATGGTATTATGGTACATACCAGTAAAATACTCATTTTTTATCAGCAATATCAGTTCAATATTCTAGTACCAATAATAGATTCATTACAAAACTAAGGCACTGAAACAGATTCACACTACTAAAAAAATACAAGATCTTACACCTCTAGTAAAGAAGCACATTCAATAGATGAGATGGAGAGTAAAAATCCCCTGCTGTACAAGGGACTCTTAAAAGAGAAGAAGACATAAGTTTTACATTGTCAATCATGACAGGACAGCAGGACAGCATAAAGCTGACTGAAACCCATACAACAGGACAAAGATGAGTTAAATTGGGTTATAGACATCTGGTGCAATATTTTGAAGACTAAATCTAATATCAACCAAATCTAATCCTGCATTCTGGATACAGAAAGTATCATGAAATTTATCACATTGGCCTTATGATGGAGCTCCTGTTTCGAATCTTTTACTTGTTTGTGCTAGTTTCAACATCTAGAGTTGAATACTAAGAGCTTTCCAATAGATAGTAAAGGGCTCATAGATGTAATTTTTTTTTATGAGTGCTCATAGATGTAAAATTAAATAATTACTTCAGCTCAACTAAATTACCATTAAAATTTTAAATCTAAGTAGCTTGCAAATTCATGCTAAGCCAAAAATAAAACTGCTAATCAAAACATCAAACTCACCATTGGTGGATGTTGTAATGGGAATCTTGGCCACTCTGGGATTAGTGGAATATATATAAACCACACTTGCGAGGTACAAATGGTATATTCAGAATATATAAGAGATGTGATGACGTTATAGCAGAGGTGTCCTCACTTCTTCAGGCACTTCAACTCTCAGCCTTTCTCCAATCTATTTTCTTTTGGAAATTGAGGGAGATGTCTAAGTGGTGACTGTACAACTTTGAACCTGTAAACTTAGCATGTACTGGCTGCAGCTAAGTGAAGAGACAGTAGCAACCATCTATTAGAAAACTCTTATTGCAGAACATAATCTCAAACCATTAAACCTAGTTTACTTGCAAAGCCATTCTAAGCCAAAAATAAAACTGCTAATCATGTTGAGGCGGAAAAAAAAAATTCAATTTTATACTACAGCCATTAGAATGCCCAATGATAAGCTATGATAGCAAACATAATGCAAGAATTGAAAACAGAAAACAGGAAGCATACATTATCACAGGTCATCAATAAAAGTGAGAAAGGGAAGATTAGATGCTCTGGACTGCAGACTGCTCAGAAAATTCTCTGGTACTAAAACCAGAGCTATTAGTTGAAGGGGGGGGGGGAGGAATGGTGGCTAAGAGCACAGAAACAGTAGTAACCATCAAGTGCTATGGTCATGGAGACATACCTGAGTCTACGATGAATTTCCCTGTATTCGAAGCAAACAGCAAAGATGCAGACTCACAGAATGAAACCAAAGTGACAACGCTCAAACCCTAAGCCATGACCCTATGAATAACCTCAACCCAACCAACCTAACCCTCTTCATTTGACTCAAATTCGACCCACGTGTCAAACAATTGGGTTTGGAACTTTGGATGGGTTGGGTTGGAGATTGCCACCCCAGATAGCAACAATATTCCCATCATGAGTCATATAATGCACAACTCAGGTCAGGTGAATAGCCTTCCTCTTTCATTTTCCTAACAAGTTTGTCCAATTCATTATAGATCACTTGTGTTTTTGGGTGAGACTTATCCCCAGATACAAATGCATGTACTTCACTCTTCAGCTCAATCCAACTAAAACCAGCATCCTTCTTCACACCCTTTTCTTCCATCATCTTCCTCATCATTTCTGAGCCCACCCGTTCTCCACACACAGTGTACAAGTTCGAAAGAAGGATGTAGTTTGCAGAATCGCAAGGGGACAACTCAATGGCCCTTTGTGCAGCAAGCTTTCCTAACTTCAGGTTCTTGTGCACCCTACAAGACCCTAAAAGAGTTTTCCATATCAAAGAGTTTGGCTCAAATGGCATCTGCTCAATGATCTGATATGCTTCTTCAAGCCTTCCAGCTCGACCAATCAGGTCAACCAGGCATGCATAGTGTGACATTGATGGGACAATGCCATGATGACTTTCCATTATCTTGAAGTAGTCAAATGCTTCCTCAACATAACCCACGTGGCTACATGCGCTCAAGATTCCAACAAAGGTGGCATGATTGGGCCTGATGGTTTCTGATGCTACCATCTCATCAAAAATTTGAAGTGCTTTCCCCCCATGTCCATGATAGGCATAACCATGAATCAATGTGTTCCATGACATGACATCACGAAAGGGCATGCCATCAAATGCTAACTGTGCATCCTCAACACTCCCACACTTAGCATACATACTAACTAATGCATTTCCAACACACACATCGATAATATCATATCCTAACTTCAAGCAAAAACCATGTAGTTGCTTTCCTTGATCTAATAAAGCCAAATTAGCACAAGAACTAAGTGTACTAGAGATTCCATATTCATTGGGTCTAGCTCCCTTCTTATGCATTTGGCAAAGCAAGCAAGCGGCTTTTTCATTAAAGCCATTTTGAGAATAACCAGATATAGCTGCACTCCATGAAACTCTATCTGGGTTCTCTATTTTCTCAAACACCTTTTCTAGCTCCTCAATTTTCTTATTTCTAGCATACATGGTAATAAGAGCATTTACAATGCGATTGTCCGATCCCAAATTCAGCTTTATTATGGAACAATGGATTTGTTGCCCCATATCAGTGAATTCCGAGCATAACCCACAAGCAGCGATGACTGTTGCAAAGGTAACCACATTGGGTTCAATTCCCAAATTTACCATTTGGTGGAACAAATCCAAGGCCTCATCCCCACGTTCATGTTGGATACAACATGAGATCATGGAAGTCCATGTCACCACATTCCTATCTTCCAATTTCTCAAAAACCAACTTTGCATTCTCAAAGGAGTCATTCTTTGAGTAAAATTCGATCAATGCACTGCCAGAGTGAAGGCTCTTATCTAGCAAAGTTTTAACCATGAAAGCATGAATCTGCTCACCAAAAATGAACCCGCAGGCAACTAAAATGCTTGAGATAGTGTGATCATTTGGAACTAGGCCACATTTCAGCATCCTATCGAACAATCTAATTGCAGCTTCAGACATTTTGTTCTTTGAATAACCCCCTATCATGGACGTGAAAGAAACCAAATCAGGCTTCAGCATTCTGTCAAAAACCCGGTGGGCCATATCAATCAAGCAGCATTTTGAGTAAAGATTGATCAGGAAATTCTCTGTCCTGCAACCATGAACAAACCCAGCTCTAATAACAAGCGAATGCACTTGCATTCCCAAATTTGCTGCTGCAAGGTCTGCACAAGCCTGAAGTACAACATTTAACGTAAAGTCATTAGGAAGAACACCTAACTCAAGCATTTCCACAAACATAGAAATCCCAATTTCTGGAAAACCATTCTGAACACACCCAGAAATGATGGAGGTCCAAGTGACAACGTTTCGCTCCAGCATTGCTTCGAACACCTTAAAAGCGTCAGAGACACGAGCAGACTTCATGAACAAATCAATCAAGATAGACTCCGTAACGATACCTGGCTCCAACCCCTCTTCTTTCATCTTCGTATGTAAGTATCGCGCTTCATCTAGACTCCTTGACTCTATAAATTCCCAGAGAATCTTCTGTTGAGCTAAGAACATCGGAATGGATTCATAATGCGAATCCATGAACCCGTCCAATAAACTTGCCCTGGATTTCATTCCGTTATTGTTTTTTGTGGGACTGAACTCCATTTTGGTGAAACTTCTGTGCTTTGCAATAGGTTTCCCTGTTAGAAGTGGGAGGGAAATCGAGGAGACAGATTTCATGATTTTTCTCCATGTGAGAAGGGAGCAGGGAAGTTGATGAAGGCTTTGGATAGAATGATGGAAATCAACTGTTGGTTTTGGAATTCCAAATGACGAATTCTCCATTAGAGAGCTGAGAGGAAGGGGCTAAGTGGCTAACCTCTTCCTCTAGAGAGGTTTTCGCTCGACCACTGTTCGCTGTGGCTGAGGTCCCAACATGGCGCCTCGTGTGCTCCCTGTTTCTGCACTAACTGCAATGGATAAGAGGAGGTAAGGCACGGCATGGTAGAGGTCGGATTTCCTGCACTCGTTTGGTGTGTGTCGTGGTGCACTCCCAATGAGATTGTAACACGTCATGCTTTGTACGATTCTCTTAATGAGATTTAAATGGCCTATTATATTTTTATAATAATAATAATAATAAATTAATAAAACAGAAAAATTAGAAAAAAAGCCAATTCGAGAATTAGGAGAGAACAGGGAACTCTTGCATACCAAACCTCATAGCTGTGCAAACGCCATTAATGATTTCAGACCGCCCTTTTCATCTTCGAGCATTGACAAGGGGTAGGAATTTTATTTTAAACTGTTAAGTAGCGTTGGGACCAGAGATCATACCAAGTCTCATCTATTAGGCAGGGACCAGAGATCATAAATAGCCTCAAATATGAGAGGACGGATCCCCATCCATTATTTTTCAAAACGATTCATGAATAACTTATTAATTTCTTTAGAAAAGTTTCGCTTCTTGATGCACTATTTCATTTCTCAACTCTTGGTTTCCTTTTCTTTTTCTTTTTCTTATTTTTTCTATCCATTTTTTCATATATGAGGTTCTTTTGTGGTTTACCTTCTATTTTGTCATTGGTGATCGATCTGCTCTATAATGTCTTCCTTTGTTTTTAATAAATGTTTTAAACTTTTTTATCTGTTCTTGGCCGTTCTTTCCAAAATAGGTTTGAAGACTTTATTTCTATCTTATTAATTCATAAATAATCTTTTGGGTTATTTGTATGTGGAAAATATTTATACAAGTATTTCATATATGTTTCTATTTAACTTGAGAGAAAACCCGCCTGAATTTGGTAACCGGGGGATTTTACTTTTTCGATTGATTGAATTTTTTTCCAACAATCGAGGTGTTAATCAAGGTGTTTTAGGCTACCTGTATTTGTTATTTTGACTGTGTACAGTTCAGTTTGCTAATGAACTGATCAGCTTCAGACTTTCGGTAGCTTTGTTGCTATGGCTGTTCTGGTTCATTGGTTCAGAGATGACGATGTAGGGAGGAACTGAGGATGGAGAAGGAGAGTAGAAGAAGATAGGGAGAGGGCGTTAGGAAAGGAAGGGATTTCTTTTTTCTGTTTTTTACTTTTAAAGAAGCAAACCATCGGTTTATATATTTGAAACGTGACGTGTTACAATCTTATTGGGAATGCATCATTGTCATGGGGGTAGTTCTACAGCGGAAGAAATCCATGCAGCGTCCAAGCCAAGGTAGGCCAGGATAAGCCTTTGTGTGCTTGGAGGCTAGGAGTTGCCCGATGAGATGGCTCCACCAAGGTCAGTAGCATTGGATCATGACCTCAAGTTGCATGGCCAGGGCACTTGGCTGGCTCTGGCCGGTCCATGGAAGATGCTACTTACGTGCTAAAGGGGGACGACCATAATGTGAGGCGATTGTGCGCCGAAGAGGTGACTTGGCACCGATGTGAAGGGTCTCCTGTATGCCGATGATGATGGGCACCTGTGTGTCGTGTTGATAGGCAACCGCTTGGGCCGAAACACACCCGTGCGCTAGAGGCAACGGGGTAGCTCACTCAGCTTGGGCAAGGGGTTGGCATGGTGAAGGGTCATGCTTGAGCCAGGCCCGCATGCCAAGCCTCCATTGAGTGTCGGTAGTGCAGTGTCGGTCCATGCATTGTCCCCATGAGCAAGTGTGCACCCATGAGAAACCCTGGTAGCCATGCTAGTCATTAACCAGGGCCGCCCCACAAGGGAAGTTGGTCTAGGAGTGCCAAGGTTAGGCACCCAAGGAGGTTGACCACCCCTCCTCAAAGAGTACATTAAGCTTTTGGTGGTCTACCTGAAAATGACATCAATTCTCCCAAAAATCTTACAGGCGAAAATGACAGTGGTGTCCCTTAACGTAAGCTGCCAAGCGTAGGCAAGGCTAAGCCTGTGTTAGACCTTAACATCATGTTACACACCAAACAAGTGCAGGAAATCCGAATTCGACATGGTGATGGTAAAAACATGCACAGTTGTATCGACTGTGATCCCGAAAAAAAACTTAACCAAACAACTATTTTTAGGGGAAAATATTTAAAATATCCCTAAATTTTACGAAATGGACGAACTCTACCCTTATTGTTTGTAAAATGACTCACACTCTACCCCTTCCATTTGTGTCGTGACTTGTGATCACATTCAGTTTGCACATGATAGCACGTGACCATTAAAACATTTTTAAAATCCAATTTTGCCCTTTGTGGCAAAAAATGCTTATCTCACTGCAAAGACCTTCCAATAGGTGAACAGAAGGATTTGCAACGTTTTAAAAAATGACCTGGAAACGGAACCATCCTAGGCACCGGTTTCTGGGTCAACAGTCCGATCGTCCAATTCGAATGAACAGTTCGTTCTGACAATAAAATTAAAAAATAACTAAAAGGGTAAAAAACCATTAAACGGGTCGATGGTTCAACCGCCCGGGTTACCGGCTTATTGACTTTTTCAATGGTTTTTGACCAGATTCTAGGTTTGGGGTAAAATGGAACCAGTTGCCTGGACGGTTCCCGAGCCGAACGGTCTGATTGTCCGGGTCAATGGCGGTTTGAAAACGTTGGAGGATTTGTCTCCCATTCTTTCTTTCTTTTTGTATCTTTTAAAAGGTTACACAACCGGGGTAGCCCATCCCCCAACCCATAACCCCTCCCCCCAACCTAGGTGAAGGCGGGATTCGATCCCAAGTATGACCAGCAAGAGACCTTACCAACCAAATGGTTGGCACCTTACTGGGTTTGTCTTCCATTCAAAAACTAGATTTTGAGGATGTCATCTTAATTCTAGGCTTTCTAGCTATCTCCATGTCCATCCCTTCAATGTCATAGGAAATGACGGATAAAAAATGATTGGGTCATTTATAAGCATAGAAGTTATTCTTTCAAAATTTATATATAAACCAAAAAATCAAAGGGTTCAGACCCAGACATGAAGAGGACTATTAATTTGTAGGGATTTTGGCCTGGAATGAAGAGAGAATTGGAGTGGTAGTGAAAATGCCTTTGTTTTGGTAGAATTCACTCCCTCCATTTAAAGGTCCTAAGGGGATACGTATGGGTCTTGAATAAAGCTATTTGGGTTAAGCAAGGTCAAAAAGTTCAAGCGAAGGATGCATCCACGTTTGATTTCACTACTAATATAGAAAATGTAATTCTAATCAGCCACTCTTATTTATTTATTTTAATATGATCAAATGGTGCTACACAAGAACTGGGGTAGCATGCCCCCAAAAGTCACTCATACAAATAAAATCAATGTCCCTAAAGGAGATCACAAAGATTGATGAAGACAAAACGATCAGGAAGAGAATGAGCTCGGTTTGCAAGCCAAAGATTGTACACATGTTTGTTTCTAACACCACCTTTCTGCTTCTCCTTCATCTGTAAATAGTCTGAAATAATATTCCTTAAATTCCAAAAAGGGGAGATCAGACCTTTGAGACAATATATTACAACATTCAAGTCTCCTTCTATTATGATTGAATAGTAGATGAAGTTGGTCGCTAAATTGTGAGCTTCCCATGTTGCCCAAGCCTTGACTACATTTATAGATGAGGTGCCTAGAGTATATCCTTTGCAATTCAAAACCTTACCCAAATGATTCCTTGCTATGGCTGCTAGAAAACAACTTTCATTTCTTGAACAAGATGCATCAAAATTAATTTTAATTTCACCAAGATTCGGAGGGAGCCATGAGATGTATTTCCATTTTCTTACTTTTTTGTTGTTATTCAACTTCTCAATGAGCTCCCAATATTTTGAGAAAGCCTTATAAGCCACTCTTATTTTTTAAGCTCAAGAATAAGGACCAAGAGATATTATGAGGAAACAATAAATAAAAGTGGTGAAGCTTTTAAAATAGATATGGTGGTGCGATATAAAATAAAAAATAGAATTATTCAATGGAAGATGTTAGACAGTGTATGCCCTTAACTCCAATTAGATTGATGTACATAAACATTTATCTGTAAATGAATAAAGTACATTATTGTTTCATGTTAATGATGACATGTTTTCTGTGAATTATCCCTTAAACTGGACACTAATGAGACTCATGTTAGTTTATAATGTTCTTAGCCATTTGATAGACTTGGGGAATTTATTCTGACAAGGCTAACGCTGGTGTGCTACCAAATAGTTGGAGTAGCTTGTTTCAACTATTAGGGTTAAACCCAAAGCACAAGTAGTGGGTGTTTGGAAGAAACACTAAACCTAGACCAATTTTCAATTATGCTATGGACCTTGGAGATAGATGAGAAAAACTAGAAAGTTACACATAACCCTAGACTTGATTAGGATACTACACTAGGCAGTGGACCGAGGTATCTTTGATGTACCAACCAGTAACATCCATTACGGGTCAAAATATCTAGGCATGTTGGGGCAATTTGGGAAATTATTTGAATGTGTGATCATAGTGATAAGATCGATCCCTTTGTCAGTAAAAAGTGAATATCAAACTTTGCATTCTTTCTTATGGAAACCTAAACTGCCGGTAGTGAATTTCACTTGTGTTTGAAATCTAGTTTTGCAAAATAATTTATATATTATTATATTACTATTTTATGAAAAACAAATTGCAAAAATGTTTCAATCCTAGTATCCATCCAAGCAGAGAGTGTAACACTGTATCTTGTAGTCAAGGGTGAGGTCCTTCCTTACGGGTAGTGTTCTGATGATTATGGACCAAGAGGTTAAGTATAAGAGACCATTACAGGGTTGATTACCTGATGGGCTTTATCTCACATAAATCCATTATCCTTGGGTCTTCATAAGGTGGCTAAATCCAGTGATCATTTAGATGTAAATGTTGGGCCCAAACTGAGCCCATGTTGATTGGCTTAGGGGTTCACTACCCCAAGTAGTGAATTCAACCTAATCTCTTTTAGAGGTGGGGTTGGACCCTCATGGACTTTATGTGAGACCTTTAATGGTATCCATGCCATACAATATCAAG